CTTGCATTTATTTTATTTTTTTCACAGCACCCCAACTAGTTGCTTTACTGGCAGAGTGTTGGTGGTATGTTCTCAAAGACAGTACAGCTGACTTTAGAGAGCAAGCTAATGTGCAACCTCAATCGCAAATAATTGTGGTAGATTTAAGGTGGCGACAGGGTTTCCATGTCCGATCTATATTGCTTGGGCCATTATTCCTGGGGGCACTGAATTTTTATGAGGCTTTTTGGACAGCGCCACAGGATTTGTTGAACAAATCCAACTGCTGTTTTCCCTTGCTCCTACTTGATTGCGGTTCTCGCATCATAACGTGCACTTAACAGATTATTTAGCCTGGATCCTGATTTATAACCTCTTTGGAGAGGGGGGGGGAAGAAATGGAAACAGTTTATTGGGTTTGTTTCTATGGTAACATGGTTGCCCAGAAGTCAGAACATAAAAAAGAAAATTGTGCATTTTTAACCAGAAGTGTCATCAAGGCAGAGAGTGCTTGGAGTGTGGGAGAGCACGTCTTACGCTTGGTGTCTGCCAGCACCTGCCTACATAGGGCCAAGGTAGTTGTAAATGCACAACAGCCCTGCCTTTGTTGCTTCTGAACTGCCCCTGATTACAAAGGCCGTTGCTCACATCTGACCCGCTGTTATATCCCCATTGCAGATCCAGGATGCCTAATTCCCTTCCAGAAAATGTCTAGAGCAGTGATTCTCAACCAAGGTGCCACAGGGCAGTGTTAGTGCTCTTGGACGCACAGACATGATTCCCAAGGTAAACCCAGAGATTTCACAGAGGAATCCGCAGAGTCAAAACCATTCTGCCCCGTGATGGTCTGAGTTCTTTGCAATGGAAGAATTGCTCTAATATTTTTCTGTAGTCAAAAAACAAGTGAAAACTAAGAGCTCTCATTGTCCAAGTGGGGCCTTGGGTCTGGAAAGTTTGAGAACCACTGGTTTAGAGACTGGTAGTGACAATGGGAGCCGTTGCTCTAAGGAAGGGAAAGGGTTAAGGCCAAGCCCAGTCAACACTGCAATCTCCACAGTCACTCCCAGTGATGGAGCTGCAGTGCTAATGACTTGTGGGATTTGCATTTGCCGGGAAGATGCAGCCCCTGGTCAGCACAGAAGAAGGTGGCAGGAACATTGACTCCTACAGTTTCTCACAGGCTTGACTGGCCTTGCCTGCTCTCTGCGATCATGGGGCTTCAGCTGCATCCCACGTTGCTGCCATTTCCCAGGTGTGCCACCTTTCCTATTATAAGCTTCTTGTTTGCCTATCCCACCTGCCTCCACGTCCACCAGCTAACATTCAGTGCAAGCTGTCTCAGTCTCCGGCAGGGTCAGCTCCTGCTTTCAGTCTGCATCCCCATTGCCATCACCTTGCGGTGCAAATGACCGGCTTATATCTCCTGTTCGTCATGCTGCCTGATTTTGAAGGAGAGCTCAATCTTCACCCGTGCTTTTGGTTACCTGCTTGCTGTAGACACCTGCCCACAGTCCTTGCTCTGCTCTTGCTCTCTGCTGCCTGTGCTGGAATTCAGGCACTCGCCTGGAACGCACAAATTCACCTTGGCTTCCAGTAATAAACTGCACTGAGCAACCACAGGAAATAATTGATCAATGGCTCCTTACCCACAGGGCAGTGATTTATATCCTCCAGTTTCCCCCTTGGGCCACATGACGCACTGATATTTTCTCTTTGCAGCCTCCCTCTGTTTTGGCTTGGCAATAGCTGCAATATCCTGGTTTCTGCCTAGCTCTCGTACCAAGCCTGTCCACTCCTTCGTAATTACACTTGGCTTTTACACAGTGGGTTTGTTATCTTCAAATCCCAAAGCAGTCTCCAAAGGACCATGTAACTGGCTGCAGTTTTCAACAGGAGCTTCAGGGAGTTAGGCACAGTCCTCTAGGCTCCTGTGCAAACCCTAGCCTGTGCAAACCCTTGGTTGTCAGGATGGGAGAACTGAGGCACGGCAAGAGCAAACACATGCCTTAGGAGATGCCCAACGGCTGGTGTGCCTGGAGGCACCTCCAGCAGTACTGGGGATGAGAGCAGGGGAAGCCTCTTTCTTTTCCTCCTTCGGAGCCAAGAAACCCTTAGATCTGCTGCCACATGATCCCAGCTAGAGGAACAAGGAGGACCTTGTGGCAGTGACCCAGTCCAGCTGGCTTTCAAGGGTTCCTGATCTCAACCTTTTTGTGCTCCTGCCTGTCCCATGCCTGCCAGTGCTTGAATCACCTCTGCGATCAACTTGTTCCGACCTCAAGCCTAGATGTTCGAACCCTGTTGTTTTCTCAGCTCTGAAGGGCAGGCCTACATCTCACACTTCTAGCATCCTTTTAAAATTTAACATGATCACTTTGCTGGTTGGGATGACAGGAGACCTCAGGCAGGTGCAGACATATGGTGAGCTACAGTGCTTGGCCAAGATGCATGGCCACTGCAGGCTGGCAAAGTGCTGTTCACTGAATGGAAATCTACTCAGGACGTTGGGGTCAGTGCCTTACTGTCAGGAAGGACTTTAGGATCCTGAATGATTGCTTGGCTTTATTTCCCCTAAGAAAGGCTAAGTACCATACTCCTGTATAACCACAGGGAAACAGGTTCACAAGCTCCTTCTCCCAGCCTCTGAAAGCTGGGTATGCCCCCAAATTTTGCTATGTATCAGCCATGAAATAGGTACCTAGTTGTTAATGAGTGACATGTTCCTGTGGGGCAGACAGCAGAGAGCCAGGATTGCAAATCAGCATGTCTTATCAGTGGGGGAGGCACAAAGGTAGGGAGACTTGGATTCACAGGCTTTCTGGGTGACCTTGGGTGATTCTGTGTCCTTGTCCCCTATCTGCAAACCAAAGGTAACAGCACTTCCTGCTCCTGGTATCAGGAAGATGTGAGACACCCAGGTACTCAGGGGATGGTACCTACAATAAATATGTGGGGTGAAGATGAGGCACCAGAGGTCAAGAGATACAGACCACACGAGCAGGATGGCTACCTCTTTTCACTGTGAAGTAGCAGCCTCTGCCTTTTTAGAGACTGACATAACTCACGTCCTAAGGGTGGAATATGAAGTGGCAGGCTTGTCATTTGGCAGAAGATACTCTGAACCTGTGCCACTTGCATCCTCATGCGTGTTTGCCTGGGGGCAGGCGGTCAGCGGCTGTGAGGAGTTCTTAGCCTGTTCTTTTTGCTCCTCTGTCTCCTGTTCTGCTCCAGTGTGCCCTGTGTCTCATCTTTTAGCCTTAGGGTGAGTGCAGTTATTTACTACCTATTTGTACAGCTTCTGGACAGCAGCTCCCCAAACCACATAGCTGCCAGGCACTACCAAATGAAAGTATTTAATATTAATAATTACACCTTATAACTACAAAAATAACCAGAATCCTTTTAAAAGAGAAAGAAGTATCCATGCCTAAGGCAGCACCTATCTAAGAAGCCATCAGCGCAATGGAAGTGTTTTACAGTGTCTGAGTAATCACAGACCAATGTTCCTTTAGATGAATGCTGCAATGAAATTATCCTAGCAGCAGGTTGTACTCCACTGCTGTGGAGCATCTTTTGAGAAGTACATATTAATTAAAGAACTTTCAGGCACAGATTCAGTAACTAGGTACATTTTATCTATCAGTGGAGGCACTGAAACGCATCAGAGGTATCTAATGGCACTTGTATTAGTTACGTAATCCCTTCATGCATGTAATACATTTGCTATTATCACTATAGCCTGAATACTAATAACCCATGGGACTGAGTGACAGGTGAACCGTGGGCTAAAGATTTAACAGTGAACTTAAGCACCATAACACAAAAGGGAGGGAATGGGAGAAGCTTCCCATCACACAACAGAGCACTGTTTCTAATTTCAAGGCAGAATAAGCGTTAAAAGCTCTACTGGGAAAGCAAAGACAAGATGTCAGATTAAAAGAAAATTCATGTTATTAGTGATCGCTGGGGTACTGACTCAGGGAGAAAACCTTTGGAGGGTGGTTCAAACTTCTTGGCTGCCACTGGTGTTGGGAGTCTTGCATGATGGCATGGGCAGGACCCAACAGGTGTCAGACCCTGCAGCCTCTCTTGGGACTGGCAGCACTAAGTAATGGCTTCTTTTCTCATCTTGACCAGGCCTGTTACCTCTGTGCCCCAGAACACGGTATGGATGTGACCTTTCATGGCAGAAGTGTGCAGGGGCAGACCTCTCCCTCTCAACCCACTGGTGGAGGAGGGAAGGGAAGAGAAGGCCACATCCATCCCCTAATGTCAGCCCTCAACCCTAGATGCTTTCTGCCTTCTGTGCTTTCCCTCTCCCCAACTGTGTGAGCCTCTCCCCTGCTCAGGTTCTTCCAGCCCAACCCTCTCAGCTCCTCCTGGCTCTTTTAAAGCTCTCCTGAACCAGATAAGCCCTTCCTCCCTTGGTTATGAGGGCTTTAGGCTCTGGCATTTTCTTGCTACTGCTGAGAGCAGGGAAACCCTGCTCACACCATCGCGACAAGCCATCCTATAGATCTGTCCTAGCCCCTGAGTTCTCTCCTAGGCAGAAATAGTCCTCGTCTTTTATTTGCTCCCTGGATAACAGGATAAGTCACCAGGCCCACCCCTGCCTATTACCTGATTATAATAATCTGTAGTTGGTCTGGAGCAGGAGGTTAACCCTTTCTCTTTGCTGTGCAGCCCATCACTGTGCCACATACCAGGTGGTGGTCGGTGGGGAAGGGGTTGTGATCAGGGTGAACTGTACCTTTGTGCTCACCACAGTCTTCCCCCCGAGCCTAGAGGCAAAGCAAGGAGTTACAGCTTTACAGGGAACTTGCAGATTGCTGACAAGCTCAGACTCTGACCGCTTTTCTGGTGAGGCAGTGATATGACTCCACCACTCTCAAAAACCCACCAGTTTTTCGAGGCTGAATGGGTGGGAACAAGGCACCCATACGGCAGGCAGCATACAGGGGCTGCCTGTGCCCTCGATTGCTAGCCCTTTCTAATGCTGGTGTATACATGTGTCTTTTCAGACAAGTGCAGTGCTGTGTTCTGGAGGCTGTGCCCTGCTAGCCATCAGCTCCCTGCTGGCAATCATTGCCGTATTCCTTCCCAGCGGGCTGTGCGAGAGGCGAGTGTGCACCCTGGCTGGTTACATGCAGACGGCAGCAGGTAAGTGATCTGCTCTTTGCACTCACTGCTTTTTGGGGGGTTCTCCTTCCCTAAAATGGGGAGGGGGCTTATTGTTCAATAAAATCAACACTTCAGGATCTTTGGCCAAAGCTTTCATTGGAGGGAGAAATGACAGTGAGCCCTCAGCCCCTCAGAACAAATGGCCTGATTTTTAAGTGCCTAAAGACAGTTTTTGGTGTCTCGCCATGAGCACTCTCCTTTGAAAATTTTGGCTCTAAACTTTGCAACAATAAACTGGCCCACTGGCCCGTCAAGTCTAGCATCCTGCACGGAGTAGCTACTGCTGCTTCAGAGACACAGCGTTCCCATCCCACAGAGCACCCAGAAATGTTGATCCATGTGGAGGCAATGGTAAGGTCCAGACTATAATGCAAGAAGCTCGTGTACCTAAGAGGGGGTCTTCAGTACAGCAGGGGCTTGCTTCTAGAGTCCCAGCCAGACCATTATGTACACAATCGCACTGATGGCACGGCAGCAGCCGGGAGTGGCCTCTGCCCCTGAGTGTCACAGCTGCTCCAGGTGCCCGGCTGCTTTATTACAACACCTCTGGTTTCCTGCTGTTATTTTTATTTTTCATTCCCTGCCCAACTCATACCATAGCCTTTCCCAGAGCGATGAAGAGGTCCTGCCGTACATTGTTTGGTAAAGCCAAGCAATGCTGATTTTATGAAGATGAAACTAAATAAGACTTGGGTCACACAAAAGGGCTGAACATCCCCTGCCTGCTGGCAGAAAATGCTTAGAAACAATGAGTTCTGCCTGGTTTTTTATAAGTAATTGTGCTCTATGCTCTGCCATAGTAAAAGGACAGGGTTATACTGTTGTAACAGTCCTTGGAACCTAGTAGATACGCCTCTGTTTCTTTGGAGATATTGACATTTGAATTTGTAGCAGCTGCTGAGTTTATTGGCTTGGCTTTAACCTGTGTGTTCCTGCCGATAGGCCAAATTCTGTCTTGTCTGCCTATATTGAAGTCACTGGAACAGAGGCCAGAACGGTCAGATTTATGGCAGTGGATCTGGCTCAGTGTGCTCCACAGCCATCTCCATATGCTCATGGCAGGACACAGGCTGTGACTCTTGTTATTAGAGCATTGCTGCTGTTTCCCCCTCAATCTGCTGTGGCAGGTGAGGATAATTTGCACTTCCCAGAGCACCTTTTGTCTGAGCATGAAAGAGCAGTTTGCAAACGCATCTTAATTCCTGCAGCCTCTCTGTGAGGTAAGTAAGCTTTGCTTTAGATACTGGATCTGACATGATTTGCCATATTGTCATGCTGTAAGAGGCATGAAAAAATTAGGTAATTTGATACCATGTAAAAAATTAGATATCTTGTAAGAGGTATGAAAAAATTAGATAAAACATTCTTCATTGAATGGCTGGAGAGACTCGGAGAGAGAGAGAAGAAACATAACTTGGCTAGTTCTGTTGTAGTAACAAACCCCTTTGTGCTAGGGCCTGTACACACTCCAAGTAAAGAGATACTGGCGTTTGGTATGGTGTGCTGACTAAGCAGCTTCTCTTTTCTATACAAATGACCAGACCCACCCAAATTCAAGTGAAATCAAGAGTACACATATGCAGATACACAGGCATGCACATAATAGGCAGCCATCAATCCTCTGGATCACGGTGTACACATAAGAGGCTACAATCATCACACCAAGACCTTTGACTCATATGCCTAGTCAAGAGTATGGAGGAGTGAAGGCTGCCCAAGACCTGCCACTCCCCTTTGGACCACTGAGACAGAATATAAAGGCAAGACCAAGTCCAGATGTTCAGTGCCTCGATGGTTGTAGCTTCTGCCAGAAAACAACAGATAAGAACTGCTGCAGATTGCCTAATGCCTCAGCCAGGGTGTGTTTCTGTCAGGGTGATGTCTCTTAGCCTTCCTCAACTAAGTAGTACCCACAGGGCAGTGGGGGCTAGAGGTTTGAGGCACCTTATACTCACCTTACTCTGGAGGTTGCAACTTGGTGGTATTTTATAGAAGCTACCCCACCGCAAGTAGTCCTACCACATTGCCACGAGGCCCTCCCTTTCGATGCAGTCTACACTCATACCCAGGACTTAGGCATGCACTTACAAACTCGCATTTCAGGAGTTGTGTGTCAGGATTTTGATCCAGTACTTAAGGAAAGAACTGACAACTTGCAAGGATGCTGCACACCAAGCAGATTCAATCAAGCCCATAGTTTTTCAGGTTTGACGCCACCTGGGTGATGCTAGTAAAGATGACGTCTTTGCTTGGGAGCTGCCTCTGGATATGGGGTTTAGAATAACATGCGCTCACATGCAGATGTTCAGTTCTCTGCCTTGCAGGGAATGACAAGTGATCCATTTGGGAAATTTGGGACATAGCTTGAGAAAGGCGAAGAGAATTATTTGTCACAACTAGACAGCACGTGGGAAAGAGACAACACAATCCAAGCTGCAGTTAACTGCCAGGAAAAAACCTGCCAGCATTTACTTACTTGTGGAGCCCTGGACACAGCTCCTATACAGGCAGGGGATGGCCCAGTTGGCTCACTGTCAGGTTGGAAACACATGGGGTGTGTCCACACTGCAATCCAAAGGCATCACTGCAGCTTGCCTTGATGTACCAGGACTAGTTCCTGTCCTAATGGCAGTGTAGACACTGTCACACAGCCGTAAGTGTGGGTGTTTACTTGGGATCCCAGTGAGGTCTGCATTCTCCACTGAGAACTGCTGCCACAGACTGGGAACAGCAATCTATTCTTCTAGCCATAAATCTGTATTACAGGTCTCTCTCACTGCTCTCCAAAGCAGCTGGAAGCAGGAGGGTACACAGGGCAACCCACCAACACCCCCTTTGCTTGGTGGCTGCCTGGAGAATGTTTCCTGGCTGATTTTAAAGCCGAGTGCAGGTTGTAATACTGCACTTTATACACACACGTCAGGACAGTTGTCCCTTACAGGGAAAATATATCACAGTCACTGGTGCTCCAATATATCAGCAAGTTTTCTATGGGCAGCTGGGGACTGCAGACCTTAGGACTTGAGAGACAGGTAACCAGTGCAGGTATTGTTGTCTTTGAAAGCTGGGTTGTTTGCAGTAAAACAGCCCAGTTTGATACCATTATTGTGTGACTTGAACAGAAACAAACAGTGTCAGTGATATCAATTACATTGAATTAAATCAGCATGAGAACAACTCCCCCCGCCCAACACACGCTGGTTTGTCAGTGCCAGAGAATAGACACTCTTCCTCCTAGGACTGTGCAAGACCCAGCAGAATTTCCAAGTAACAGGCCTCATTATCTGACCTGCAGAATACAATCAGCTTTCTCATGGTTCAGAGGGAAATCCTGTTACACCGCATCCTCATGGCCGTGCTAAATATGAACGAATCCTGTGGGATCTGATTTGAAAACAGATGGACAGAGCCATCTCTCACTGCTGGCTGCATCAAGCTGTTATTAAAGATGATTGTTCATGCTTAGCCGATGGGGTAATGGAAGTGAAGAAAGTACTCGCTTCTCCGAACCCTGCTGGCTGGCTCCTGCAACCGAATGGCTGGCTATTATCTCTATATTCGTGACAATGACAGTCCTCTCACAGCCTGTCCCTCTCCCCTGCTGCTGCTGTATGCAGGGGACAGCCTCTAGAAAAATAGGCTTGCCCCCATAAAGGGCTTCTTTGGGAAATGGAGGAGCTGGCTTCTTTCTACAGCAGGGCTTTTCTGAGGACAAAGTCATTAAAAACTATGGCCTGCTCAGATGGAGATCATATAAGCACTGTAGGCAGACTGATAACTCTCCAGGAAGGGGACAGAGATACTTCCCCTCTTCTATAAAACACTTGGAGATCACCGGCTGAAAAATGTTATATAAAAGCTTTAATGTTCATATCTACTGGGCAAAATGTGTGGAGCGCTACACACAGCTGAGACAGACACCTTCCAGGATGTTCTCCTCCTCTCAGTCAGGATTATTCCAGGGAAACTGCTTTATGGACTTATTTTGGCACCGCAGGTAATGAATTTGCTAATAAAGCATGACTTTCTCCTGCAAGGTTGCTAGGGCAGTGAATGCAATTCACACCCTTCTGGGATGTTAAATCGTTAATCCGTGGAATGTTAGTAGTTACAGGTCAGGAGGAGATATCGGCCTGCTACCATCACGGCTCCCTCTCTATTTAAAAAATGACAGACCACATTGAATTTCCCCCAGCACGAAATGTGTAAGATAAAAAGAACATTAGGGCTGTTAACGAAGGAATTCTACAAGCGTCCATTCAGCAAAAGAGAAGCTGATATATGGGTGCCGAGTAGCTCTGCTGGCCAATTCATTATTACCCAGCACTATTAATGTGCTGGGGATTTTCCAGCCTTCGGGGTATTGACTATTACAATATATAAAAGAGTGGGTAAAATTTGCTTTTGCTCACTTGCTCCCAGGCCCAGTGCCCTTGCTCACATCACAGCCTGCTTACGTGGGCTGTGTGTGCACCTGTGCTTACAATGCAACACCAGCCTGAACACAGTGCATGGACAGTGCTGCATCTCCTGCTGCTTTGCATTCCCTGCCCGGGCAACAGGACCCATGTCACAGCAGTCCCGGCAGCTCCCGCCCAGTCCCACCACGGTGGTTCACGTGGAAATGGTTTCAGAGCCAAGTGCCAGCAGACACACATTTGTGCAATGTCATCGTATCCCTGCTCCATGTCACCCAGCTGCCCTGGGCAACAGGCCCAGTTCTGCTGCAAAAGGCCTTTGTCCCGGAGGAGTTTCACCCTCTTAGAGTAGCAGGAAAGGATACTCTCAAAGGCTCGGTGCAGATGTGCCTCATCTCAGAATGAGCATTGGAGCACAGAGAGCCTGACAGCATCTCTGTGGACATGTAGGCAGCAGACAATCTGCAACCTACTGTGCTGGATGCTGTACACAGTCCTGGTAAGATACTGTCCCTTCCCTACAGAGCTTGTGTTCTAAATAGACCAAGTTGGGTCAAGGGTGCGATCGAGGACAGTCCATGGCTAGGCTGGGATTGGAACTCAGGGCTCTGGATGCCTTGGCCATGCCACTATGCACACTGGCTTGAGCAATAATGCATTTTGCATTTAAGCCAGTGCAAACCTCAGGAACCAAAACTGGGTGGGAGTTAGGAGAAAGCTTGCCAAAGAAAAGTGACTGTGACGGTTAAATAAAACTATGAGGATCTCTGAGGCTTTTGGTGTTATTGAGCAGGCTGTAAATAAACTGTAGACTCTAAGCAGTATTGACAAATGAAAATTTACTAGGTACATTTGATCAAGCTAATGGGCTGCTTAAACCCTCACTATGCCTCGCTAAGCATTTTGTATTGTGCCTTTTAATTTCAGTTCACCGAGGATTAATTCTAATTCAGACTGAGGCGGGCCTGAGTCAACAGAATTAAGGAGTTTAATTTATTTTGATTCAAACATGATGCACCTCTCGGTTTTGTAATTTCTTTCCCCATTCCTCTCCCCCATCCAGTGGGACTCTTCATTAGAAATTTACCTTTCCCCAACAGCAGGACAAGCAACAATGAGTGAAGCTTCCTTCCCCAAATTGCATTTATTACATGGCATCAAAGCTGTGTTTATTGTAGATGAAAACAAATCCAGGAGACCATTCTCTCTCGGGTCGTTCTCGGAGCACACAGGGAAGTTCTGCCTTTGCTAGGGACGAGCATAAGACTGATACTGATAATGCAGGATATCAAAACCTTGTTAGATTTTTAAGAGATGTCGTCCTTCCAGAGGAGAGTGGGGTCTCATGGTTAACACACTGTCTTGTGACTTGGAAGACTGGGTCTCAGTCCTTAGCTCTGCTAGTCACCTAGTATGGCTTTGAGTGAAGTAAGGCACATTTGATTTTGCCCCTGTCATCCCAGTTTAAATGGTTCCCCTTCTAATACCTCACTCCAGAGAACAAAGGAAACATTTCCTCCCAAGGCAGAGGACATGTGGCAGGTTAAGGCAGGCAGGGGATGAGAGCGAATAGATTTTTCCTCCCTTCCTCAGTTGTTTTATGTTCCTGACTAGAGCTGTGTGTTAACTCTTGGCTCTTCCCAGGCGGCTGCATTAGCAAGTAGGAGTTGTGATGCCAGACAACCCAACGGTGCTGAGTCATAAAGACCAGAATAACAGGTTAGAATTTGAGATCGATCTTCCTGGGTGTTGTGAAGACACCCTCCTGGGGCTCCCCAGGGAAATGAAGTAAATCCATGAACAGATCGTTTGTCCGTGTCAGAATGGAAACAAAAGCAAATATTGAAGAAACCCTTGTCCCAAAGCCATCCATTTCCTGCT